TGGACCCCTAAGTACTTATCTACTGTCCCCAATGATTTTAGTGAGAAATGTTTCCTTAGTTCATCAGCAAAATTGTCACATCTGGATTTCTGCTTCCCTATGTACAATATGTCTTCTACATAAACAAGGACATTTTCGATTGACCCTTTTTCTCTTTTTATGAAAAAACATTTGTCTGCTGAGGTGGCGGTGAAACCCATTGATGTGAAGGCCCTGGCTAGGCAGTCATACCATCTTTTGCCTGACTGTCTGAGACCATATAGACTTTTGTTTAGGAGCCAAGCGCTACCTTTCCCATCATCAATTCCTGGTGGGGCCTTGACATAAATTTTCTTGTCTAAATCGGCATGCAGGTATGCAGTTTGTACATAGAACTGATATATCCCTAATCCTAGTATGGAAGCTATTACTAGGGTGCTCTTGACACTCTTGGGTCTGATGGTGGGGGAATATGTGTCTGTATAGTCCTCTGGGTATTTTTGAGCAAAACCCTGGGCAACCAGTCTTGCTTTGTATAATACCTTATTATCTTCTAGTGGTTTAATTTTGTATACCCACTTAGTCCCAATAGGTTTTTTGTCATCTGGTGCTTTGGCTGGTGTGTATACTTGTAGGTCCTTGAGGCTTCTCATCTCCCTTTCCATGGCTTGCTCCCATTTCTCTTTTTCTTCTTAAGGAAGTTTGAGTATTTCCTCATAAGAGTTGGGGGTGATATTGTTCGCCTGTATAGAGATGATGTAATCCTCGAGCCTCTTTGGTGTTTTGTTTTGGTTCGTTCTGACTGGTCTGTTCGGTACTGTGTCTGTCTTGTGTAGACATTTGGCTTCCTTATCAGTGAGTTTGTCAAGGCTTAGTGTGAGGTGTCCTTCCTTCCATTCCTCAATCTTGAGTCCATGGCGTTTGGGTCTGTGGGTTTTGGTTTCCCCAGCTTTGCCTGTGTCCTGGTCCCTTTCCCTCTGTTCGGGTTTGGATGTGTCTGCCCCAAGGAAGATGTTGTTTGAGTGCAGTTTGGACCAGTTGGAGTGTTCATGGAAATCTGCTGACCTTGACACCACAAATTTGTTGTTGCTATCTATGAATCTGAAGCCTTTTGTTCCTGGTTCGTATCCCATGAACCTTAGTCTCTTGGAGACCTTGTCTCCTTTTCTTCTTAATTGTTTGGGTATGTATACGTCTGCTGGAACACCAAACACGTAGAGATGTGCCAGGTTGGGCTTTCTTTTGTGCATCATCTCATACGGTGTTTTGTTAATTACACTAGACCAGAGTCTGTTTAATGTGTAATTTGAATAATGGAGAGCTTCTGACCAGAAAGCTTGGCCCATCCCTGCATCTTCTAGGACACGCCTCATCATGGTTTGGAGGACGCCGTTTTTGTGTTCTACCATACCATTCTGGAAGGCCGAAAATGGGGAGGAGGTGAAATGCAGTATGCCGCGTTCCTTCAACCATTTTGAAAAGTCCCTGGACATGAACTCGGAACCGCGGTCTGTCATTATCTGTCTGACTCTGGTATCGTGTTGAACCTCCACCCTCTTATAGAATTCCTTGAATCTCTGGAATGCCTCGTTTTTGTGTTTGAGTGTATATACAAAACCGTAGCGGCTAAAATCGTCCACAATGATTAAGAAAAACCTCTCCTTGTACCTGATAGATGGTTTCAGTGGCCCTACCAGGTCCATGTGTATTAATTGGAAAGTGGAGTCAGTGGTCCGCCCTGATTTCTTTGGTCTCGGCCTAGCCTTGATCTTTGAGCATTTACAGACTGAACACTCGAGGTAATTTTCACAACTCTTTACTTTCAATCCTTCAGTACATTCAAACATTTTTTTGACGACCGGGAACCCAATGTGACCTAGTCTCCTATGGAGGAGGTGAGCGCAATTGTCGTGGATGGGTCTCCCTTGGGAAATTGTGGTCTTCTGATTGACCCCCTCTGTTTCTCCATTCTCCCTTTCCTCACTGGCTATGTTTACGTTTACGCACTGTTGATCACCCTTGTTTGGTGTGAAGTATAGTAGGCCGTTATGTACTGTCACTTCCCCAATGTTTTCTCCGTTGCTGGACATGTGTACCCTACCTTCCCTGAATACCACCTCAATGTTAGTGTCCCAACTTAATTTTATGGTGGCCAGTACGTTGTATGATATTTCAGGCACAAATAGCACCCCCTCTATTTCTCCTATCCCTGGGATGTGTGTGCTCCCTTTTCCAATTACTTTGGCATTGCTCTGATTGGCTACCTTTATCTCAAAGTTCACCTCAGTAAAAGTGGTGAATAATTTGGCGTTGTATGTAGTGTGGTTGGTGGCTCTGAATCTATGAGCCAAATATTCTCCTTATCTCCCTGACTGAGAGTTGGTCCTCCGTACCTAAAACCATACACAGAGCCTGTGTTGCTGTCTCGGGAGCTGTCCCTGCGCTCTCTACCTCGCCTGGGGTTGGGAGACCATCCACGCCCTCATTCTTTTGTGGGTCTGTGATCTGGAGAATGTCCCTTTTGGTATCTTCGTCCGGATTCAGGCCTTTCCCTCTGCTCATTATACCCCCCGTCTCTGGTATTTCTGGGGCAGTCCCTTTTAAAATGGTTCCTGGAACCATATGAGAAACATTCAGGGATGCTATTTATTCTGTCCTGAAACTCAACCCTCTTTATAGGTCTGAGCTCTTTTCTGGACAGGTGGCGGTCCCTTCTTAAACTATCTTCAGCAATTAGTTTGTTGGTGAGACCATCTAATGATATGTGCCCTATGCTTAGGCTGTCTAGCTGTGTGACAAAGTTATCCCAGCTGGGATCTAGTGAATTTATGATTATACTCATCATGCTTTTTTCTGTGATGTTCTCACCTCTCTGCAGTAATTCAGTCCTGGTGGCATTGAGTTTTAATAAATGCTCACTCATGGACACCCCTGGCCTGAGTCTGGCAGAGTGAAAGTCTCTTGATATTCTTGTGGTGGTGGCCCTGCTCCTACTGTAGAATAAGCCATAGAGTTTCTGCATAACCTCATACACGGTCAGGTGGTTACCTATGCTGGGATACATGGTGGGTGATATACTTGCTAACAATAAACAAAAAGCTTTGTGGTGTATACAATCAGTCTCAAAAGACCATGGCTTACTGGGTGGCTTAGAAATCAGAAAAAGTACATTCTCCCTCATAAATACTATTTGGAGTTGTTGGCTCCACTCCAAGAGATTTTTCCCATCTAATTGAAACTTGGGAAAGCCATTGGGTAAAATCCCAGAGTTGTGAGAACTGCTACTTATAAAAGGCAGCTGTCCATGGTCCTGGATGTGTGGGAACTCACAGTAAGGGACTGGTATACAGGCTGACAGGTTAAAAAAACAAGCAGTCATTTTTTTCCCTTCACTTCCAACAGGGGGAAACTGAGCATGCGCGAAGCTCATTCTCTGCTGGGATCCGTCGGGTGAGGAGCTCGCAGCCGTGGCTAGGCCCAGCCCTGCCAGGGGAAGGTCGGACTCACCCCTGGGAGCTCGGAGCTGGGCAGCGGAAGTCCAGGGCTGGTCCTGGGCTGCGGGATCATCGTCGAGCGCTGGCGGGAGGCCCGGAAGGTTCATGTTCGCCGAGCGGGGCCTCCAGTCGGTAGATGCTGGTCGTGTGTCAGGCCGAAAAGCCCGGCGGAGGCTTCGGTGCAGATAAGTGGTCCGCTTGGGTCGTGGGCCTCGGGTCTTGCACCGGTTGGTTCGCGGTGCGCCACGGGGTCGGTGTGTTGATGGCGGGTGGCTGCGTCTCGCTGGTGGCTGGCGTCACGTCCCTCTGGTGTGTCACGGTCGGTGTCTCGGCGTTGGTGGGCATCAGGTTATTTCTTTGGGCCTCGGAGGTCATTCTGAGGCCCGGAGGAAGGTCGGGCGGCTTGTAAGTGGGGCCAAATGCCGCCGCGAGGGTCTCGGTGGCCCTTTCTATTTCGAGCTTGGTAGACGAGCTCCTGGTGACTTGTTTTTGTTTTCTTTCATTATTTTTGGATGGCCCCTTATTTTTTTCGAATTCGGGGCTAGTTCGTGCCAAGAGGTTTGAATCTAGGCCTCCCATTGGCTGTTGGCCATTCCAAGATGGCCGCCATGAAAAAGGCACGTAAATAGACTCGGCCACTTCTGGCGCGCCAGGTTGGGGTGGCTCCTCTCTTACCGGGGTGGTGGCTTCTTGGGTTGGTTCTGGTCCTTCGGTCGCTGCTCCACGGCTCTCGAGTAGACTCTGGAGGTTCACGACGAGGTCCTCGTTAGAGGCGGGCATTTCCATTATTTTCAGTATGGCTTGTCTGAGGTCATCATTCTCTCGTGATGTGCCTCTGTAGTCATCATTTTCTTCTTCCCGCTGTTCCTCACCCTTGGATGGCGTGCTCAAGTCGATGGTCTGCACGTTCGCAGTCAGGGTGGTCTTTGGAGTGGCTCCAGTGGGCGTTAGTTGCACTGCCATCTGCCTGGTAAAAGTTCTGGTGTTTATTCTGTTCTTCTTCGTTGAGTACACAGCTTGCTCAGACATGGCTGGGAGTTATGGGCAACCATCCTCTGCTACCATTTTGTTAATTGGGAGGATCTAGCACAATAACTCACAATACAAAATAGTAATTATTGCAGTTTATTTATTTGTAGTTATAAATATATCACAGTCCTAGGTATGCACTAGTAACTGACCTATGTCTTTTCTTCTCAGATATATGGCTGGAACTAACTTGGTGCCCATGTGGACCATCCTTTTATACCCAGGGGGAGGAGTCAAGGTAAGATGGGATTGTGGGAGTAATGGGTTGTGTAGTAGTGTTAACCGTTGATAGGCCATGGGGCAGTGGGGCATATGTAAGTTAGACATTTTATGTGACAATTCCAGCAACTGTTCTTTATAAGTTTTAGCCTTCAGTCATTTGAAGGCTAAATCATTTTTGTTGCTCTTCTCTGCACTCTTTCTAGAGTCTCAATATCTTTTTTACATCACGGTGACTAAAACTGGTTGCAGTATTCCAAGTGTGGCCTTACCAAGGCATTATTTCCCTGCACATGCTCTAGATGGTGGACCTCCAAGGGGCTTGCTGGAGAGGCCGATGAGGGAATGGAGGACTTTGGGAATGTTGGAGGCCGATTTAACGATCTTGGGCCCCACGTTCAGCATGCCAAAGGTCTGGCAGTTCGGATGAGCCATCCCCTGGCGGGATTGGCTCATGGATGGCAGAGCTGCAATGAGGATTGCGATCGGAGCGCCAGGAGAAGGGTGGCAGCGGCCTTCGAGATGACTCAGCAGCCGCGATGCCCTGGAGATCGGGCGATTACTCTGCGGCCCGGAGGTTCTCAGGCCTCATCAAACAGACATTTAGCCCAGACCTGAGGATTGGGGGGTGTATGGCCCAGCTGCTGCTGAGGCTTAAAATCCCCCCCAAACAGACCTGGACCTGGGAAGAGCGTGGCAGAGTCTGCCTGAGAAGACGGGTAGGACTTTGGGGGAGAATTGGCCCGGAAAAGCTAAAGGAGGTGAGGTGACAGAGGGGGATTGATGAATAGCCAGCTGGTCTCCCCTTTGGATTCACTCCCCCGCCCCCCGTGTGAAATGGCCTTCCCCTGTTACTGCCCGGACTCTCTGTTTGTGGTTGGGTCATTTTTTTCCATCACCTCTGACTCTGGGACTTTATTATCACCCTCTTTGAACTTAGTGTCGTTTGATCTCTATCTCCTCGTTGCTGCTGTTTGTTGCTGTTTGTTTCAGCCCTGCCTCCCGATTACCGCCTTCTGGCCTGGGTGTGGGGAAAGGGAGATTTCAGGTTTGGAAGGAGAAACTGAGAGTCCTGGACAATGGCTGCTGCTCCATCTGCAGGAAAAGAGTTGAACTCTGCTGGCCTTATGTCATCCAGCCGCTGTGAGAGAACGGCTGTGGCCATTTGCTTGCATTGCAGCTATGTAACCTGGACGCCCCATCGCTATGAGAGAGTGAGAGGCTCCAGTTTTTCCCAGATCCAACCGTATTGCTATCTCGCACCTCTAGGATCATCGCTGACACCCAAAGTTACTCTCCCTTACCTCGTCATACTTATATGGCTAACACCTCGGTGGATCTGCTCGTGCTGCGAGATGCCCCCCTCTCGCGGCGATGGCCTTCCACTTTATTGAAGGCCTACCTTAAGGATGGGCTTTGGAGCCCCGAGAGTTGGCATGTTTTAAAGCGGGGATTGAGGGTTTTTTTAATTAGGGCTTTTAATAATTTTTTAAGGGGAACTGGGAGAGCGACCAAGGGGGATGGGGGGGTAATCCTCCAAGGTCGGGGCCAAGCCCGGCACGGGGTAACGGTTTGGAGGGTGCAGGACGAGGGATTGGGGAGGGGAAGGTGGGCTATTTTAATGAGGGATGTACCATCAGCATGGTGTATGGGAGAGGCAGATATGGCAGTAGCAGGGGACCATATCATGTGTCGGGGGTGCGCACTCGCTACTTGAGAGCAATTGCACGCCCCGGTCCCCAAGGCTCCTCTCGGATACTAGGTGGCACAGTTACTCAGGACCTGGGCCTCTGTCTGATGCTGTGCAACGCCAGGTCCGTGGTAAATAAGCCCCCCCTCATTTACGATCTTATTCAAGAGGGGGGAGCGGACCTGGCGGGTATTATGGAGACCTGGTTAGGCCCGGAGGGGTCCCTCTGGTTGAGATGTGCCCACCAGGCTTCAGAGCATTCCATCAGCCGAGGGCCCAGGGGAGGGGCGGGGGGTGGCGGTTATTATTAAAGAAGGTCTTGGTCCGAGAGAGACCACTGTGTCACAGATTGCCGCATGTGATTCCCTCTTTGTGAGATGGGGTCATGGGGTTCAGATGGGCTTGCTGCTTATGTACCTGGCTCCCTGCCATGTAGCAATGGCCCTGCCCGAGCTACTTGACGTGATAGCCACGGTGGCAGTTGATACACCCAGGCTTATGGTCATGAGTGATTTCAACTTGCCGTCCGTTGGTGAAATGTCAGAGATGCCTCGGGAGTTCATGGCTTCCATGATGGCCATGGACCTGACCCAGTTAGTTCATGGCACCACTCACAGGGGAAGGGGACACACTCTGGACTTGATTTTTGTCTCTGGCCAGTGGTTGAGTGGTCTTATTATAGGGGATATAGACATGAAACCCTTGTCATGGTCAGATCACTCACTCTTTCGTCTGGACCTTCGAACCGCTACACCCCACCGCAGGGAGGCGGAGCCAATTAGGTGGGTCCACCCCAGGCGCCTGATGGATCCTGATAGGTTCCAGATGGAGCTTGGGCCATTTCCTGAAGATCTGGCACACGACTCGGCCGAGGACCTGGTGGCTGCCTGGGATCGGGCGGCTGGTGGGGCCTTGGATCGAGTCGTGCCTTTGCGGCCTCTGACCCGGTGTCGATCCCTCATGGCTCCTTGGTTCACCGAGGAGCTGAGGGAGATGAAACGCCAGAAAAGACGCCTAGAGAGCGGTTGGAGGGCCAGTCTCGCTGAATCTGACTGAACACTGGTAAGGTCGCATATTAAGACCTACTTAGTGGCGATAAAAGCGGCAAAGTTTAATTACTTTTCCGCTCTTATTGCATCATCAGAGAATCATCCAGCCGCCCTGTTTAGGGTGACCCACTCCCTGCTTCACCTGGGAGCGTGGGAGGACCCCTTGGAAGGCAGGGCCGAAGATTTCGGGCAATATCTGTATGACAAAATCGCTCAGATCCGGGGGGATTTGGACTCTGACTGGATAGATTCGGGCAGGGTGGCGAGGAATAGTCTTGAGAACGTTATCTGGGAAGAGTTTGACTCTGTGACCCCTGATGACATGGACAGGATTCTGGGGAGACCACATGTTTACTGGATCCGTGTCCCTCCTGGTTAGTACTGGCTTCCCGGGAGGTTACACGAGGCTGGCTCCAGGGAATTATTAATGCTTCATTGAGTGAGGGTTACTTCCCCACGGCCTTGAAAGAGGCGGTGGTGAGGCCTCTCCTCAAGAAGCCTTCCCTGGACCCGGCAGTATTAGCCAACTATCGTCCTGTCTCCAACCTTTGCTTTGTGGCGAAGGTTGTCGAGAGTGTGGTCGCACGACAGTTTCCGCAGTACCTGGAGGAAACATCTTATCTAGATCCGTTCCAGTCAGGTTTCAGGCTTGGGCACAGCACGGAAACGGCATTGGTCACATTGGTAGATGATCTCTGGAGGCTCGGGACAGGGGTTGCTCCTCTGTTCTGGCCCTGTTAGACCTCTCAGTGGCTTTTGATACCATCGACCATGGTATCATGCTGCACCGGTTGGAAGAGTTGGGGATGGGGGGCACCATGTTACGGTGGTTCTCCTCCTTTTTCTCAGACCGGTCGCAGTTCGTGTTGGCAGAGGGGTAGATGTCGACCTCGAGGCCTCTTATATGTGGAGTGCCTCAGGGGTCGGTCCTCTCGCCCCTTCTGTTCAACATTTATGTGAAGCTGCTGGGCGAGATCATCCGTGGCTTTGGGGTGAAGTACCATCAGTACGCTGATGACACCCAGCTGTACATCTCCACCCCAGGCCACCCCAACGATGCCCTTGAAGTGATGTCCCAGTGCCTGGAGGCTGTGCGGATCTGGATGGGGAGGAACAGGCTCAAGCTCAACCCTTCCAAGACTGAGTGGCTGTGGTTCCCGGTATCCCGATATAGTCAGTTGACTCCATCACTGACTATCGGGGGCGAGTCTTTGGCCCCCGCGGAGAGGGCGCGCAATCTGGGAGTCCTCCTGGATATGCAGCTGTCCTTGGAGGAACATCTGACGGCTGTAGCCAGGTGGACCTTCTGTCAGGTTCGCCTGATTCGCCAGTTGCGGCCCTTTCTTGATCGGGATTCCCTGTGCACAGTCACTCACGCCCTCGACACCTTCCGCCTGGACTACTGCAACACTCTCTACATGGGGCTCCCCTTGAAGAGCACCCAGAGGCTCCAACTGGTCTAGAACGCGGCCACGCAGGTAGTCATGGGAGCTGCATGGCGCTCCCATACAACACCTCTCCTGCGTGAGCTGCACTGGCTCCCAGTGGTCTTCCGAGTGTGCTTCAAGGTGTTGGTTATCATCTTTAAAGCGCTCCATGGAATAGGACCTAGTTATCTTCGAGACCGCCTGCTGCTACCAATGGCCTCCCATTGACCTGTGCGCTCCCACAGAGAGGGCTTCCTCGGGGTGCCATCAGCCAAGCAATGTAGGCTGGTGACCCCCAGGGGGAGGGCCTTCTCTGTGGGGGCACCTACCCTCTGAAATCGGCTCCCCCCAGAGATAAGGAGAATCCAAGACCTTGGTTCCTTCCGCCGTGCCCTTAAAACCTTTTTCCAACAAGCCAGGCTGGCCTAACACTTTTAAAAATGTTTTTAATTGTCTGTTATTGTTTTAATCATGGTGCCAAATTTATATATATCTTTTTAATTGTATTTTAATGTTTGTAGTTTATGTTTTTACTTGGCTGTTCACCGCCCTGAATCCTCAGGGAGAAGGGCGGTATACAAATTTAAAAATAAATAAATAAATAAATAAATTATAAAGTGGTATTAACTCTTCATGTGATCTTGATTCTATCCCTCGGTTTATGCAGCTGAGAACTGTGTTGGCTTTTTTGTCAGCTGCAGCACACTGTTGGCACATATTTAAATGGTTCTCCACTAGGACTCCAAGATCCCTCTCACAGTTACTACTATTGAGCAAGGTACCACATATACTGTACCTGTGCATTTTGTTTTTCTTACCTAAGTGTAGAACCTTACTTTTTTCACCATTAAATTTCATTTTGTTAGATAGTGCCTGTGGTGGGATTCAAATAAGTTAACAACTTGTTATCTGCCCTAATGACCAGCTGGGTAAGCGTGGCTGGGTGGGCATGTGATTGGGTGGGCATGGCCAACTTGACATCATTCACATCGAGGGGTGTTTCACCTCGCCTGGCCTCTCATGACCGTGAGGATGCTGCAATGGTCATATGTGTAAAAAATGGTCATAAGTCACCTTTTTCAGTGTCATTGTAACTTTGAATTGTCACTAAATGAATTGTTCTAAATCAAAGATTACCTGTACAAAAATACAAAAAGCTTTTTGCTTGCCAAAAGCTGTCCTAAATACCAAACGTTAGCTTAGAAATGGGGGAATACACACTGAAGATCAATGACAGTCACAGCCATCATGAAAACCTAAACCATTCTGTCTGAATACCTTCCTTTTCATCAGCAACACCTGCAACCCAGAGTTACAAATCAGGCAGGGTGCCAAGCACCTTGAGGAATTAAAATAGTTAAAATGCAATGATAACTATCTGCAGCCAACTCTTGCTCATAAAGTGAAACCACAGAGATCATTTAAGCTCTCCAGAAAGTGGGTGGGCATACTTGGGCTACAAAATGCCAAGCTAAACAGACAAATTAACAAAGTATATAGGCGACCCAAGTCTTTGCCCTCCCAAGCTTGTCAGGATCACAATAAAATTAGTACATGTCACAGATATCTAAATTTTTTTCATTTTTTTTTCATTTTATTTGATTTATATACCGCCCTACTCCTGAAGGACTCAGGGCAGTGAACAGGCACAAGATAAAACACATAGAATACAAAAATTTAAGAGCAGAAGTAAAATTGGATTAAATCAATTTAGCCCAAGACAAATTTAAAACCCCAGGTTAAGAACAAATTAAAATTTACATTAAAATTTACATTAAAAAGAGAATGGGAGAGGTTAGGCCAGACCAGCCTGATGAAATAAAAAGGTCTTGAGAGCGTGGCGGAAGGTGCGTAGATCCGGGATCCTCCGTATCTCCGGGGGGAGCTCGTTCCAGATAGTAGGTGCCCCCACAGAGAAGGCTCTCCCCCTGGGGGCCCCAGCTGACATTGTTTGGCCGACGGCACCCAGAGTAGTTCCTCTCTGTGAGAGCGTACCGGCCGGTGGGAGGCCATTTGCGGCAGCAGGCGGTCCCGTAAATAACCAGGCCCTAAGCCATGGAGCACTCTAAAGGTAGTAACCAAAACCTTAAGCGCACCCGGAAGACCACCAGGAGCCAGTGCAGCTCGCGCAGGAGAGGTGTTACATGGGAGCGCCACGTCGCTCCCATAACCACCCGCGTGGCCTCACTCCGTGCCAGTTGGAGCCTCCGGGTGCTCCTCAAGGGGAGCCCCATGTAAATAATCCTGTGTTGGAAGAAATATTCATCTGGTTCAGTTCCAAGCTGGGAGAAAGACACTGGAAATATGGAGGCTGATTGGAAAAATGGTTTAATGATGAAGCAGAACCACATCTCTCTGAGATGATGCAATGAAGAGGCTTATGTCCTGAAAGGGTGTTAGGAAATTCCTATTGTGTCTTAATGTCATTCCTCCTGTTTTGGATCTTGAGTGAGGGCTAATCCCATTCTGCCTTTGTTTAGACCTTGCTGCAGGGAATTTTTGCCTATGAATATAGCTCTTTATCTCTTAAGTGCTAACATCTTCTGTGGGCTATTAAGGAAGGTGGGGGCTGCTTTCTCCCTCCAAGAAAACATGTTTCTCCATTTCTCATTCAGGGAAATATATTCTTCCTTTTTAATATTTCTCAAAGTATTTCATTCTTCTAGGAGAGAGGTGGGTGAGAACTTTCTACAATTGGTGCCATGTTACCATGCCATATTATCATGAGAGAAAACTAAAACAAATTGGAAGGAGGATCCACTTATTATCAGTGAGCAATCATGTGCCTTGCCCACTCCGAAGCAATGCAAGAGACTTCTGTCCCAAAGGTGCTTTTTCAAGAGGCAACTGGACTTTCTGGAAACCAAGAAAGTCCAGTTGCCTCTTGAAAAAAGCACCTCTGAGACAACCATGACCTGGATGACTGAAGAATCCCCATAGACAAGAGACTCTTGTGCTCAGTGAACTGACAACGCACCCTTTCCCACCCAGGAGAAGCAATCCTTAGATCCATTTCCACCACTTAAAGATACCAGCTGGTCTCACTCACCTCACAAAATATCCTTAAAAAATCATCCAGATGTAAGGAAAGATAACATGCCCCCAGAAAGGCAGTAAAAAAATCAGAGTGCCAAGCTTGCATCCTGCCTCTCAGCCATTTCTTCTATGGCTATGCCAACCCTTATGTAAATAGGTCTTAATCCAACCAGTCCCTCCTCCCAAGCCCCGGAATAAGAGTACCAGCAAAGAAAAAAAAAACTCCAGAGAAGCTGCTCAGGCTATAGAAAGTCTGGGCGTACTGCCAAGAATCATTAACAGCTGTTACAATGTAACAAGGCTTAACCCAGAAGCAGTTTCAAAAAACACTTAAGCAGGCTAGAAACAACACACACAGGCACACCAGAATGCCTCTGTCCTGCCTTCCTGACAGGATTAGCCCCTTAAGGTGGGAAAAACAAAAGGCTGTTAGAAGGAGATTTCTTCCAACAGCAGATTCGTCAAACTGCTCAGAAAGTTAACTACCTTTATAAATATTTACAAGACACTTTAGGCCTGTCAATGTTGGAGGTCTACAATGAAGTATTGTTAGAAGCCAAGATACTAAATACCTGGATGGAAGCAAATATCACTTTAATACTGAAAGAAGATTCAGATTCAATGCAGATAAAAAACTATAGGCATTACTATCACTACTAAATGTAGACTATAAAATATATGCCTCAATAGTAGCAGAGAGACTAAAAAGATTCTTGAAAGGATTTATACACCCAGACCAGAATGGATTTTTACCTAAAAGACAAATCAAAAACAATATGAGAATCATCTTGAATATGTTGGAGTATTATGAAGTACATTCTGAAAAACAAATGCCATTGATCTTTTTAGGTGCATAGAAAGCATTTTACAATGTAAATTGGCAATTTATGTCACTACAATTAAAATATATGGATTTTGGTGAAAATTTTACCAATATGATTAAGGTGATTGTAAATGTGATTGTAAATGGGGACGTGACAGAGAATTTTAATATAAGGAAAGGCACAAGACATGGATGCCCATTGTCCCCTCTACTATTTATATTAACATTGGAAGTGTTAAACAGAAACATTAGACAAGATTCAGAAATAAAACGTATGGCGAAAAAAAATACAAACTACAGGCGTTCGCAGATGACCTGGTGTTTAATTTAGAAGAACTGCTAGAAACTGGACCCAAATTAATAAAAATAAAATAAAATAGAAGAATGTGGTAAAACTGCAGGATTGAAAATAAATAAAGAAAAAACCAAAATACTAGTCAAAAATCTCACAGATAAACAGAAAAATGAATTGATAAAGAAGACAGCTATTCAGTTAGTTAAGAAAGTAAAATACTTAGGAATTCAATTAACAGCAAGATGTACAACTATTAAAGAAGATAATTATACCAAGCTAATGTAACAAATTAAACTAGATCTGGAGAAGTAGAAAAACTTGCAACTATCAATGGTAGGAAGAATAGCTACAATAAAAATGAATATCTTGCAGAGATTATTATTTTTGTTCCAAAGAATTCCGATAAAGTTAGAAAAAAATACTTTGAGGAACTAAATAAAATGATGTTAAAATATATTTGGCAAGGGAAAAGAGCAAGAATAAGATGTTACAAGAATCTAAAAACAAAGGGGGTTTTGGGCTGCCAGACTGAGAGCTATATTACCAGGCCTCTGTACTTACATGGATGAAAGAATGGATAAATTTGAGGCACAAAAGATTATTAATTTTGGAGGGACATGATCTTCAATTGGGATGGCACGCATTTCTATGGTATGGGAAAAACAAAATACATACCATATTTTTCGGAGTATAAGATGCTCCGGACTATAAGACGCACCTACCTTTTTTGGGGAGGAAAACAAGAAAAAAAATCTGCCTCTGCTTCTGCCTCCCAGGAATTTGCCTCCTTGCAGCAAACAGCAAACAGCCTGCTTTAGTTTCATTTTCATTTTCAGCACAGCCTGATTAGCACAAGAAAAAGAAATCTGCCTCCCAGCAATTTGCCTCTTTGCAGCAAACAGCAGAGGCCCGCGCGACAATAGGCAATGGCAATCCCTGCAGCCTGAAACTGTTATGTTGGGTGAATGAGGACACAGCAAGCCAGGCAGTGAGTGACAACAGCTCTTTATTGTAGGGTGAGAACCCAGCAACTGACCTAGGGAAACAGCTCCCTTTATATACCTTGCAGCTGTGGTGGTCAACCAATCAGCTGATGGTTAGTTAGTTCAAACTTCCCACCAAGAAACCTATTTACATAACACTCCTCCCCTCCCAGAAGTCACTTGGGGTCGTATTAGCATACAAAGTCTTTCAGGTGACTAGGGCGTGTACGTGTCCTGGTTGACCTGCACAGTTCAGTCGGAGGGGAGGCGTCGAGCAGGTCGGAGGGACACCCTGTCTCTCCCTGCTCCGCCAATGGAACCTCCGAGATTTTTTTGTGGGCGGCGACTTCTCCGGTCGGTCGAACCTCTTCAATGGGGTGGCGCTGGATGCCAAAATCGACAGCTAAGTCCTCCGCTGTACTTGGGCTTGATGTAGTTTGTGGTTCTGATTGGTAGTCAGTGGGCGATTCGTTGAGACTTTCCTCAGCGTCTGTGTCTATTCGTTTCCTCAGTTGGTCTATGTGTCTGTGCAACTCTCCCGTCCCCCATGTCTATTCTGTATGATTTGGGTCTCGTGATTTCTGTGATTGTTCCTGCTTCCCAGAGTGGGCCCTTCCCATAGTTTCTGGTGTGGACTGGAGTCCCTATGGTGAACTCCCTGAGTTTCCTCTCATCCCCCCCCCTTGAAAGTGTCAGGAGAGTAGTTAGGGTTTAGCCTGTCCAGTACCCCTTGGAGCTTCCTTCCCATTAATAACTCTACTGGGCTTCGGCCTGTGGCGGTACAAGGGGTGGTGTGTTGGGCCATTAGAAATTGATCTATTCTTTCCTGCCAATCCCCGGGGCCTAGGCGTGAGAGGGCCTCCTTGGCCGTTCTTACAAATCTCTCAGCCTGTCCATTACTAGCTGGATGAAACGGGGCAGAGAGTACGTGTCTGACCCCCAGGTCCGCTAGGTACCCCTCGAATTGTGTGGCCGTGAATTGGGGCCCGTTGTCCAAAACCAGGACATCTGGTAACCCGTGGGTGGGGAACAACTGTCTCAGTTCCTTAATAACCGCGTCAGTGGTAGTGGCCCTCATGAGCTTAATCTCTAGCCACTTGGAGAATGCGTCCACTATAACCATAAACGTCTGTCCATGAAATGGGCCGGCAAAGTCTATGTGAATCCTGGACCAGGGGCCCTGGGGTCTTTCCCACTCCCATACCGGTGCTGTCGGTGGATCTGGCCTAGACTCCTGGCAGGGCTGACATCTCCCCACCCACTTGGTAATGTCTATATCCATGTTAGGTCACCAGACAAAGCTTCTGGCTAGTCCCTTCATCCGAACGATTCCAGGGTGCCCCTCATGCAATAGCGTTAGAACCTTTTCCCTTAGGCATAAGGGAACAATAACCTGATCGCCCCATAACAGACATCCCCCTTGCATGGTTAGTTCGTCCCGTTTGCTCGCGTATTGTTTAAATTCCCCGCCCTCAGTCTTCTCTGGCCACCCCCTCGTCACCCAACTTGCAACCTTCCAGATCACGTGGTCCTTGGTTGAGGCTCTCGCTACCTCTGCTGATGTAATAGGTCCCAAGTCCAATACGTCTATCAGCAGGATGGGGATGCCGGGTGTGGGGTCTTCTAGCTTGTCTGGTAATGGGCATCGGCTGAGTGCATTGGCGTTGCCCATGTCTGCTCCTGGACGATGTATCAAGCGATAGGAGTAGGCTGCTAGGAAGATGGCCCAGTGTGTCATCCTGGGCGATAGGGCTGCCGGTGTTGGTCGGTCTCCTGCGATGAAACCCAGAAGCGGGCGATGGTCAGTGATTAGGTCGAAGTCCCTTCCGAATAGGTATTCGTGGAATTTCTTTACTCCCGAGACGGCAGCGAGGGCCTCTTTGTCCAGCTGGCTGTAGTTCCGCTCAGCGCTGGAGAGTGTCCGGGAGTAGTAGGCGATGGGTGCCTCTAGGCCGTTTGGCAGTCTATGGCTTAGAACAGCTCCCACGCCGAAAGGGGACGCATCACAAGCTAAAACAAGGGGAAGCGTAGAGTTGTATTGGATTAAGAAACTCTCGGCTGACAGCAGTTTTTTTTATGTTCGTGAATGCAGTAGCCTTGGCCTTCCCCCATTTCCAAGTGGACTTCTTAGCTAACAGTCTGTGCAGGGGTTCAGCCACTGTTGCCTTGTCCTTCAAGAAGATTGCGTAAAAATTTAAAAGTCCCAGAAACGCCTGCAGTTCCCCCTTGTCTTTTGGGATGGGGGCCTCCTGGATCGCCCTGATCTTACTTTCGGTGGGGTGTATGCCGGTGCTGTCTACTCGGTACCCCAGGAACTCTACGGAGGGGACCGCGATCATACACTTGTTGCGTTTGGCCCTGAGTCCAGCACTCCTGAATTTTTCCAGGACTTTTCTGAGCCTTCCCCCTAGTTGTTGTTCGTCTTCAGCGGTGACGAGCACATCATCGAAATATGGGACCACCCCAGGGATCCCTTGCAACAGCCGCTCCATAGTGCTTTGAAATAGTCCCAGGGCTATGCTAACTCCAAACTGCAGGCAGGTGCATTTGAAGGCACCTCTGTGAGTTACTATGGTCTGTGCTTCCGCAGTAGCGCCATCTACCGGCAGCTGCTGGTACGCCTGCGCAAGATCAAGTTTAGCAAATATCTTGCCGGGGCTTAGGGAATGCAGTAAATGGTGTACAATTGGAACTGGGTAAGCGCTCTGTTGAAGAGCCTTATTAATTGTACACTTATAGTCTGCGCATATGCGCACTGACCCATCCGGCTTTACAGGTGTCACAATTGGGGTCTCCCACCGGGCATGGTCGACTGGTACAAGCACCCCCTGCTTGATTAATTTTTCAGCTCGAAGTCTATTTTAGGTTTCAATGGTACCCTCCTTGGTTTCAACCGGATTGGGGCAATGTTGGGGTTGAGGTTGAATGAGATAGGGGTCCCCACATACTTGCCGAGCCGCTCATCGAACACGTCCTGGAACTCCTGCATCAGGTCGTCCTTCAGGATGCTTCACACATTGCAGACTCTGGTGAATCCCATGCCCAGGACTCAAAACCAGTCCATGCCCAGGAGGCTTGGGAGCTTGCCGCTGATGATGGTGAGGGGAAGCTTCTCACAGAATTCCCCGTATTGCACTTGGAACTCACCGATTCCTTCTACGGGGATGCGGTTCCCCTGGTAGTCTTTCAGTCTGCACCATTGTGGTTGGAGCTGCCGCTTGTGGATGCTGGGAATGGCTTTCTTTAAATTGTCCCACGACATGATGGTTATGAGGGATCCCGTGTTGATCTCCATCTGGCACTCACGTCCCTCGATCTCGACTGCGGTGTAAGTCTTTTCTCCGGGAGACGTGCAGGTCTGGCCAATTCGGATAGTGTAGGCCTCGACATCTTCAGATTTCACACCCTTCCGGCTTCCGCCATCTTTATTGGGCCTCCGGCGCAGCGCTGTCTCTAATTGGCCGGCTTGGCCTCATGGTTTGTAGCCTTGCGCCTGGTTGGCCCTGCAGACTCGGGCGATGTGGCCCTTCTTTTCACAAAAACGGCAGATGGCATCCCTGAACTTACAGTTCTGTCGGGAATGGGGTCCTCCGCAGCTGGCGCAGTCGTCCCGGGGTCCCCGTCGGTCTGGCCTCGACTGTTTGGTGCGGTAGACCTCCTCCTCAGACTCCCCTTCGCTCTCGGTGCTTACGGCTTCACGGTGCACCGTCACTGACCTCTGCGTTGTTTGGCCATGGATGGTCCCTTGTAATCTTTCAGCGGCCTTAACTGAAGATTCTTGGGCTCTGGCTTTGTCTAGTGCGATATGCAGGGTCACGTTCGATCTCGCAAGTAGCCTCCTCTGTAGCCGGCCATCCCTCACTCCGCAAATTAGTTGCTCTAGGAGCTTTTCATCCAAGTCTCTGTATTCACACTGATTTGCAGCCTTACATAGGGCAGCAACATACTCGCTGATCGACTCTCCGTCCTGCTGCAGTCTTTGCCGGAACTCGTACCACTGGACGTACTTCGAAGGTGTTGGTGCATAGTGGTCTTTCAACAGGGTCTGCAGCGTTGACCATGATATGGTGTGGACCGAATTCAGCTCCGATAAGGCTTTGGCCATGTCGAACACCCATGGTCCGCAGTGGCTCAGGAATAGGGCCTTCTTCTGAACGTCCAGTAGTCCTTGCAGGTCGTTGGCCACCATGAAACACTCAAACCGAGACATGTAGGATCCCCACTTTTCTTTCTTGGGGTTGAAAGGTGCTGGCGGTGTGTAGGCAGAAATCATTTCATTTTCCTTTCATTTCATTTTATTAAATTTGTATACCGCCCTACTCCCGAAGGACTCAGGGCGGTGAACAGGCACAAAATAAAACACATGAATACAAAAGTTAAAAAACATAATTAAAACCAAATTAAGTAATTTTTGCCCGAGACAATTGAAATTCCCAATAATTTAAAATGAATTAAAATTTCAATTTAAAAATTTAAAAGAAGGGGAGAAAATTAGGCCAGGCCGGCCTGCTGGAATAGGAGTGTCTTCAAAGCACGGCGGAAAGTGCGCAGATCCGGGATCCTCCGTATCTCCGGGGGGAGCTCGTTCCAGATAGTAGGTGCCCCCACAGAGAAGGCCCTCCCCCTAGGGGCCACCAGTTGACATTGTTTGGCTGACGGCACCTGGAGGAGCCCCTCTCTATGAGAGCGTACCGGCCAGTGGGAGGCTGTTTGTGGTAGTAGGATCGTTTCGTGGTTCTCCGGTGCTCCGCTCGCTCGCCTGGCTGGATTCTGGGTTCGGGCATTCCGCTTTTCTCTCGGCTCATGGCTTCAGCTCTTTCCTTGGCTTCTGGCCTCAGATCCCACCTTCATCGCCAATGTTATGTTGGGTGAATGAGGACACAGCAAGCCAGGCAGTGAGTGACAACAGCTCTTTATTGTAGGGTGAGAACCCAGCAACTGACCTAGGGAAACAGCTCCCCTTATATACCTTGCAGCTGTGGTGGTCAACCAATCAGCTGATGGTCAGTTAGTTCAAACTTCCCGCCAAGAACCTATTTACATAAGAGAAACAGCTGAGGGTCCAGAGGCTGATCCAACCGACAATCAGCTGCTTGTACTAATCAGGCTGTGCTAAAGCTGAAATGGGCTTTTTCATGTCTTTATCGTAACTAGATTGCATTTGCAATTGAGGCCACCATGATAGTTTAATTCCCTGGTCTTTAAGCTCTTGCTTAGATTTTAATTTCCCTTCAGTGTCCAAGATATCTTTATATGTCATAATGTTTTTGAGCTTCACCAGATTTGGATATGTAAACGCTTCCATCATTGAAAGCCATTCTGGGATTTTCAAATAGATCTTAGGTTTTATTTTTTCCCATACTGATAATAATGATTTTCTTATGTAATGATTTTGAAAGTATCTTCAATTTTATTCTTCTCGTACCATAAGAAGGCGGGGCATCCCAGTTGTAAATCATGTCCTAAATATAACAGTCTCTTATGTCTGAGAGTTATCCATTCTAGTAAAGGCAATAGTGCGCATCCTTGTCTAGTACCTTTCTTTATATTAAAATTCTCTGTGTAACCCCCATTTATAATTACTTTAGTTGTTTATGATATATCATCTTAATTACATTTATAAATTTCCCCCCAAAATCCATACATTTTAGTTGATGTATCATAAATTGCCAGTTTGCATTGTCAAAAGCTTTCTGAGCATCTAAAAAATTTATAGTCCACATTTAATAGAGAGATAGGTGTATAATTTTTTATCTGTGTCAGATCTACATCCTCTTTTGGTATTAGCATGATGTTTGCTTTTGTCCATGTATTTGGTAGTTTTGCTTCTAATAATAGCTCATTACAAACTTCCTTCAGTGGTGAGCTTAACATGTCTGAAAAACATTTATAAAATTCTGCAAATAGCCCATCTGGGCCGTGGATTTTATCATTTTTTCTGTCTTTTGATTGCTTCTGTCAGCGCCCACATTATTTTTTTATTTAGCATATTTTTAATTTTTTCTGGAACTTTAGGTAGGTTGGCTTCTTTTATATATTGTGTTATTTTTTCCATGGATTTGTTTTCTGTGCATATAGCTTTTCATAATATTCTTTAACTATTTTTTTATTGTCTTATTTTGAAATTGTATATATCCTTGTTCACCTTGCAGTTTATTTATCATCTTTTTCTCTCTCTTTTCAGTTTATACACCAACTATCTTCCCGGTTTATTTGCATTTTCAAAAAAAAATTGTTTTGCCCTTTTGGTTTGTTGGGCTATTTCTTCTGAGACTATTAAATTCAATTCATGTTTAATTATCTCAATTTTTCTTTTAAGCGTTTTCTTTTGTGGGTCTCTTTAGAGTTCTGACTCCATTTTCTTAAGCTCTTCTTTTAACATCATATCCTGTTGTTTTTTCTCTT